TCGCTCTTAGGTTGGAGGCCATCGCTCTTAGGTTGGAGGCCATCGCTATTAGTTTGGACGCCATCGCTATTAGGGTTGGAGGCCATCGTTCTTAGGTTGAAGGCCATCGCTCTTAGGTTGGAGGCCATTCTTAGGTTGGAGGCCCTCGCTATTAACGGCACATCATGGCACCATGCTCTTGGGAAGAAGTCGTTCTATCCTTCGTAAGCTTGACTATCTCTCTTAGGTTCGTAAGCTTGATGAACAAATACATGTTGGGGTGTATCAAGGAGGTGAAGCCATGTTCTCTGAGGGCTACGCTCAGCAGCTCGCACTTTTTCATGGCTGGTTGGTATTGGTACACGGTTGATTGTGTATGTATTGAGGGGCAGATGCCAAGCTCAGCATCTACCGTCTTCAGAGAGGTGCAGGTGTATCATGTATCAGAGTAAACATATCCCATTTGTGCGAAAGGCATCCTGATCGTAGATGTCAAGTGCTACATTTGCGAGAAGTGGACACATTCAAACATTGAAGTTGATGTAGGGCAGGTCAAGGGAGCAAGCAGCGCAGGCACGCAGGCAAGCAAGAAAACAACCAGCTGGCAAGCAAGCAAGCAAGCAAGCCATTTGAGTCGTCGTTTGGAACCAAGACTTTGGTGACCTTGCTGATGGCTTAGCATGTTGTTCAGCGCATTTGCCTGACTCCACGAAAAACTCTGCGAAACTCCTCGAGATCGGCACCACGAAGCGGAGCTGACCGATAGCGGCACTTGTCTCCGAGCCAATGGCCGTAGGGCAATTCCAAGTGGAACAATGCTCCCCACCAAACCCCCATGACATAACATGCAGATGTTGTTTTCCTCTTTTTCACAAGACTCACAATCAGAGAAAACACGACACTGGTTTGGTGGACGGATCACGAAACCCCTTTTTGGTCGATGGCTTCAAACGGGCTGCCCAGGCGTTGCGTTTGAATGATGCTCTCTTTGCTGATCATGATGCGAGATTGGCAAACGTGAGGGTGCTCAGGTTGCCATCGCGGCTTGGTCTCGGTAGATCCAAGATTTCGGTAGAAATATGTACAGTACATAGCCCAGCACATATAGTTATTTGTTAAATGTTGCGGATGATCAAACGAACACTGTTCTTTGGGGCCCCTGTGATCCTGTAATGGGGCTTTGAAATGCTTGGACATGGCATGATCAAACATGGAGCCGAGCCCAAACATGATCAAACTATATTGCCAAAGATTGGGATTGGACTTCTTTGGGGGTTGCTTTATTCAGTTCATTCGGTAGAGGTACGGTAGCATGAAAGACGACAATGACCACATGAACATGCGTGTACATCCGTGCACTAGCTGTCTAAAAATATGGTCGCATTTGCCTTTCACATGGCCAAATGCCTTTCACAGTTCCATCTCCTGGTGTGTTTTCCTCAACCATCTCTCAAGCCGCGTCGATCTTGGCGGTCGATGGCGGTCGATGGCCCACTCGTTCTTCGCGAAGCGTGCGAGGCTTCTTTTTTGCCACCTCCTGGCCTAGCTCCTCCAGGTCTGAGCTTGATGCCTCGCAAGGCGACGGACGGACGGGTTTTGTCTCCGACCTGACCGGGTTTGGGTGTGACAACTCCGTCCCTTTGGGGGGCTTGAGTGTTTTCGGACAGGAATGGACGTTTTCAGCTTCAGACTTCGGCCAGATGTTTGCAGGAAGCAACGTATGGCATTTTTGGATACACTGTTTGGATAAGGTCTATCCACAAATATCTATGGTCTATATATAGTGGCTCATGATGGCTCATTCCCAAACGGATTCAGTCCACACCGCCAGACCCCTTCGGTGATCTCGGATGAGCTCTCCACTCAGCTTCGAGATGACGGGAGCTATGCTGCTTGGGCTCCGTTCCGGCGAATCGGGGGACGGGCGACTCACCGTTTGACCCATCAGAGCTACCAACGCCCATGAGGCCGTTGGTACTTTATTGGTATAGCTTGGTTGAGACTTTCCTCGGTACACCCAGCAACATAGAGATGCAATAGAATACGATAAAAAGATGAATCCGTGAATCTGCCAAGATCGATCCAAGATTGCTTTGATCGGGTTGAAGATTTGGGAAGAATCCATCCACCGTGTTCCACTCCGCCCTTTTGCATCAACCCACGTCGGTTCCGGTGTCCCCGGGTGGCTTTTGGCCGCTGGCGGCGCCACCGGCGGTTCGGCCCGAGGCGTCCTTCGTGGATTCCCAGTCCCAGATCTCCTATTCCGCATCACAAGTCTCCTTCTCCTCACGCGTGTCGGAAGACCTCCGCACATTGGCTTCCATGGGCCTTTGCGAATGCAAGCGACTCGGCCGGCGGAAACAGAACGAGAAAATGGACTCGGTCCATGGAACTGCCCGTTTCAGGCTGTTTTACATAATTGATCATAATTGTGTTTGCGTCAACATGTGTATTTAAAAACAATTATAACATTATCCAAAGAAATATATTATGCAGTAGTTACTATATGGTGATCTATGGTGTGTCAATATATATATATATAATTATATATTTATATATTGTCAACAAGATGCTGGGTAGCTACCAGCATCGTTAGGCCGTTTGCCTCAAGCATCTGAGGCTCTTGGAAGATGACCTTCGTCATTTCAGCATCCTGTCATAATGTTACCTGGGGCTCAGTCAATCACAGGACAAAGGTATTGAGTCATGACAATCCATGAACACGTCCTCCTTGTTTCTTGCGGTTGGGATCTTTAGGGGTGTTTCAAGGGTTTTCTTTAGGGGTGTTTCAAGGGTTTTTGTGCAGTTGATCAGAACAGCGAAAGCAACTTCTCCGAACCCTTAGTTCCCAAGGGCAAGTGAACCAGGACCAGGTACATCATGGCAAGATTGACGGCTGCAGGTCCACAACATTGATTCAAACAATGTAATTAGTGGACGTGTGCCTGCATCAGAATCGCCCTAATTAGCAAAGATGGGTAAAGCATGGTAAAGCTAAGATGCGTTCTATTCTCTCTCATTCTTCGTGTTGTAGTTCTGTTGTGCACGGTGCAAGCGCAGTGGTCGATGTCCAGATGAGGTGCTGTGTTGCTGAGCCGAATGTCTTCAGCTTGCGTTGCTTTACGAAAAGTTGACGAGGTGCATCAATGCGTGCTATGGTGTGTTTTCATTGTCAGCTTGCTCTATAGTAGGCGGTTGACCTTAGACATCCTTAGACTGTTGCTTTTTTTGGAGATGAAACGAAGACCTTGGCAAGCGAGGAGTTGGCTGTGGCAGATGAACAGACGGTGCCCATGATCGAGGAGAATCTGTGAGTCTTCGAGACATATATACAAAACTATAATAAATATAACTATGTATATAGAGAGTGAGTGAGTTCTTCAGAGAGGACTTCGACCAGAGCCTGCAGCCCCACTATTTGTTTGTATTGTGTGTATCCAACTCTGGTCCATCAGTGCCAAGACAGGAGGTTTGTGGTTTTGCTAATGTTTCAAAGTTTTTTG